CATGTGAGCAGCTGGAGCTGTATGCTTTTATTTTTTTCTGTCAGGCTGTCGGAGCGCTCCTCCTCCTCTGTCCGAGGCTGGTGTGGGGTAAAAATCCTCCACCTCAGACGTTCAGAGATGTAACTATCTGCGATACTGTGGTCACTCTCCATGTAGCATCAATTATGCTAATGCTAGCTGTCACGTTCTCTTGTCCTGGCCACACCTCCGCTCTCTCTAAAAAAACAACCTGACACAGGAGTTTTGATTTTAGTGTATAAAGATATATTAAAAATCAGAGGTTTATAGTAACTAGCTACATTTACTTAGTTACAGTAATTTTTTGAGGATATGTAATTTTACCAAGTATTTTTTTAAATCGTGACTTTTACTTTTACTTGGGTGCTTTTAAAGCCTAAAAATTATGCTTTTACTTCTTTCCTTTAAAGTTTAACACCTAGTTACTTGTTACAAATTAAATCTGTCTGAACTCATCATGAAAGGACTTATGTGCTCTAAAAAATTAAGTGTTGAATTTACTCAACTAAATCATATCAAGTATTTCCACTAAGCCAGTAGAGTAAATATGAGGCGATATACATATTTTATGTTTAATAAATTGACCGATTTATTCAACTTGGCTTTGTGGAGCCAGTTTGTTTCTGTAAATTTAACAGTTTATTTGTTAGAGAGCGTGGAAGCACTTTTACTTGTACTTTCCCAGTTTCTGTGAACAGTTTTATGACTTTTACTTAAGTAGTTTTCTCATCAGTGACATTTACTTTTTACCAAAGTCATTTTCTGTTAAGGTATTTTTTTACCTTTACTTTATTATATTTTTAAAGTACTTTATAGACTTCTGTTAAAAATCACCAACAATAGTTTTGGTATTAAATTCACCTGCTAATTTCACGTAATGAGCTTAATATTACAAATATTTCTTTTTATTAGAATTGTGTTTTTTATAATGTATAACATATTTGACATCATGTGTCAAAAAACCTGAATGTTGTTTTCTCATCTTCAAAATAAATGTCACCAAAATAAAAAAAATATAGTTGAATAAATTACATGTGAAGCAGTGTACTGTATAAAACTAACTTTCACTCAAGTAAAAAATAAACATAACATTTATTTTATTTTTATTTTTTACAGCTGGTGTAAAACTGCAAGTCTTTGCAAATCAAGTTAAGGAAACATTTGGTTCTATTTCTAAGGAAATAGTTACTTAACTTCTGAAGATTTACAAGAAGGCCAGTAGATGGAGGCAGAACTCTTGGTAAAAGTGTATTTTTCTGCACTGATCTATGAGCACAGTTACTCCGACTCAATCCTTATGAGAAACAGGAGCTTCCAGGCCCAAAAAAAAGTGTTATTTTGCAGCAAAGCTTCTGATTGGCTGACGGTTTTAGAACATTTTTTTTCCTCTTTACAAAAATCTCTCTATAAAGCTCAGGATGCTGCAGAAGCTCCATTCTTCCTTTTAGTTTGGTGGGAACAGTAAACTGAACAGAGAGCTTTTGCTGAACTTTTTGTTTGATAGAAAATCAGCTGTAGGTCAGATTTTATCAAAACATTTTTGACTGATTTTGTGCTTCTTGCTTCAGTGTTTGGATTTTTGAACAGTTTCTGAACTCGGGACAAGGCACGCTTTACGCACACATGGCGAACGCTTGTATCCAACTGAGCGGATTTCTCCTCAGCACCCTTGGCTGGATCAGCATCGTGATCGCCACGTCCACAAACGACTGGGTGACGATGTGCAAATACGGCCTGAACACCTGCAAGAAGATGGACGAGTTGGTCTCTAAGGGACCCTGGGCAGAGTGCGTCATCTCGACAGCGCTCTACCACTGCGTGTCCCTGACTCAGATCCTTGAGCTGCCAGGTTAGACACTCTCTACTTATTTTAGCCTCATCATTCAGAACGTTAGCACCTGTGCTTTTTTATGTTTGTTAGCGAAATAGCTCACAAACCACACTGCAAAAACTATGCATCTTACCAAGTTTTAAAATCTTATATCCAGCCAAAAAGTCTTTTTGATCTCATTTTGAGACTGATTTACTAAACAAGAACTGATTGTGTAAGAATAATAATCTTGTTTTCAGAATGTGTAAGATTATTTGTCTTGTTAGCCTGAAAATTTGACTCAAATTAAGTCAAAAATTTCTGCCAGTGGAATAAGAAAATTTTACTTGGTAAGATTCTTGAAATAMKWRAWWWRASWSTYWWWTYWMKTATTTCAAGAATCTTACCAAGTAAAATTTTCTTATTCCACTGGCAGAAATTTTTGACTTAATTTGAGTCAAATTTTCAGGCTAACAAGACAAATAATCTTACACATTCTGAAAACAAGATTATTATTCTTACACAATCAGTTCTTGTTTAGTAAATCAGTCTCAAAACAAGATCAAAAAGACTTTTTGGCTGATATAAGATTTTAAAACTTGGTAAGATGGACCGTTTTTTGCAGTGCACTGAACAGATTTTAATGTAACTTTCAGAAAGTAATCAATGAATGTAGAACAAAAAGTAACTTCTGAAGTCAGTCCCATTTAAGATGGTCATCATAGCTTTGTGAACCAATCAAACACAAACATTGTTATAATTCAACCATTGTTACAAATATTGAGCTAAAACTGGATGTGGGAGGAGCTGAGAGTTACTCCCAACACATACTCTGAACACTAATGCTCCAATACCAGATTTAAAAACTTTGTCATTAACTTTTGGAATTGATTGAGTTTGTCTGTTTGCAAAATATCTCATGAGTCACTGAACAGATTTTATAGAAACTCTCAGTTAGTATTCATTAGATGTGCGTGTACAACTGATTAACTTTTGGAGTTAACTCAATTCAAGATGATCACTTAAGATAATTAATATTAGTCAATACAAAAGTGTCTAACTGTTTTAAAGAGACAACTTGGTTCTGGTAGTAGTCTGGTATCATCTTCAACACATAAGCACTACACTTTGCAAAATTTGTGCTTAAAACTTTGGCAATGCCTGATAAAATCCTGTCTGTTAGCAAAACATTGCATGAACCTCAGGACAGAATTTAGTGAAACAGACAGAATTACCATGTGTCCTGTGTTCGGCCCTCCAGCCTTCATCCAGACAACCCGAGCCCTGATGATCATCGGATCCCTCCTGGGCCTCCCTGCCGGGGGGATGCTCCTCATGGCCATGCCCTGCATCAGCCTGGGCAACGAGGCCAAGAGCTCTAAGAACAAATTTGCCATCCTGGGAGGAGTGCTGATGCTTGTAGTCGGTAAGAGACAAGTACATTATCGCCTGCTGCTGAAGGTGAAATGAGTACTTACAAAGACGTGTGCGTTGATGTGTCCGTTAGCAAAATATCTCATGAATGGAATTTGTAATCCAACTTGCAGAATGCAATAATTGAAGGAACACTACAACTGATTAACTTTTGGAGTGTTGTGGAAAAGGTTTTTACTTTCTATCTGATCTATCTGATGGAAATAGAAATTTCCATCAGATAGATCAGATAGAAATACAAAAAAATTGAGTCAAATCAAGTATTTCAAGAATCTTACCAAGTAAAATTTTCTTACTCCATTGGCAGAAATTTTTGACATAATTTCAGTCAAATTTTCAGGCTAAAAACACAAGCAATCTTACACATTCTGAAAACAAGATTATTATTCTTACACAATCAGTTCTTGTTTAGTAAATCAGTCTCAAAACAAGATCAAAAAGTCTTGTTGGCTGGATATAAGATTTTAAAACTTGGTTAGATGGACAGTTTTTGCAGTGAAAACTGGCAATAAAGCAGCCAAATTTACAGATATTCAGCTGTGTGGTAGTAGCAGAGTTTCTTTTCCCACAATGGATACTGTGAGTAAGACATCTTGCAATATTGAATGAAATAGCCATAATATTATGTTTATAGTTTGACCAAAAGGGAGGACATAAAATGAACTTCTTAAACTCTGGCATTCCGTGTGGCGGTTGATATGCATTTCTTCAGATAGTTCTCTTGCATTTCACTCACTTTTTTGCACAGATCTGATAAAATGCAGATCATAAAGGGCTCTGTTGTGTTGTCCTCTGTTGTAACGTCCTCATTCTGAGCTTTTTTAACCTCAACTCAAACCGTTACAAGCTGCAGAGGATGTTGGGACTGACGATTTTCCTACTGTCTGGGTCGGGGCACGTGGGGCATTCACAGTTCAAATGTTTTAGTTACATTTAAACCAAACACGTTCCTCCCTAACACACCTTGTTTTTGGGCCACATTCCCTTGGCTGCCCTGTGTACTGCCATTAAAAACATTTGACTTGATATAGCATTTTCCACCTGCTTTTTTTCACATCCACTGCTCATTTATCAGCATAAATGGAAATCTCCAATGAAAAGCACACCCATTTTAATTATTCCTTAATTATTCCTTCCTAAGTATTCCTTAGGAATTGTTGTAGCACAATATGGCACAATTACAATATGAATGACTCTCAGCTACTACCACACCAAAATTTAGCAGAAAGTAACTGTAAATATGATCTCCATTTTTCCTGTTGGCTAAATAACTTTAGCTGTGGTAGCCATCCGAAATTGGTTTATATTAAAATAAAAAAAATTGTACATTTAAATCCAGTGACTCATTTTATTGAAATCCATTCAGTGGTTAATGAGGTGTTTAGTTAAAGGCACAGTGTGTAGGATTTGTTGTTTTCAGCGACATCTAGTGGTTGAGTGGTTGAATCATCCTCCCTGGTCCTCCCCCCACCCCCACCC